TTATCAGGGACTGGATATTTCTCTCAGAGTATAGAGCCACACCACCCCCAAATCTATTACAATCAAAACGAACAATTGTATAATTATCAATATGAATTTCTGAATCCAAAATTGAGGAGTCTATTTTAGTTTCATTAATGGCCAAAATGTCAAAAGGGTTATCAGACAGCAAGATACGAATCTCATGGATATGTTTTAAAAGACTGTTAATGTTTAAATTTGCAATCTTCAGGCGCTTTAAATTTGGTATGTTAAAATCAGGCAGAAAGGAAGTTGAATTTGTTGAAACTGACTCGCTGTCAAAAATTATCATATTATCATTCTTGATTTCATTATTAGTTAAATTTGAGCTGCTATTCATTGTTGAGTCTATCAAGTTCGTCTTGTTGGCGATTTCAGAGTTTTGCTATTTGGTGTAGTGTCTCTTCTAGTTGAAAATTTTTAGGATAGTTGTCCATGAAAACTGCCTTCCATGTAAGAACTTATTAAACCCATTTCTCGACGACTAACAGAGGGGACTGTCATCGACACTGCATGAAAATAGTGTGGGCTCATGAGCTTTTCCCCTCAAATTTTGCTTTTCAATGTTTGGCATACAATTTCTAAGGAAGTTGAAGTTTACAGCATTGTGATTCACTGGTTTTTGAAAGCATCTGGGTTTTTTGTTGTTGGAAGTTCTAGGTTAACTCTTGAACAATCTAATGATTGTTTTTAAAGCAAAGCAATTGAAGGAAAACTTACATTTTCATACAAAGATGATGAGTGGCAATATTTATGTTGGACTGTTTTGAGCAGATACTTCGAAGAACATGATATGATTGGACCTTGTATCTTAAAAGTGTACTTGGAATTGACACCCGAACAAAGTGGTAAATTTTGTTACCCGGTGTGTTGGGCATCATAATTCACAGGAATAGTACACAGCGGCATTTATACTGGCTATGTGACCTGTAGTTTAATGTGGCATATGCATCATTGAAAAGGCTTTACTTGGCTTTTTATCAATGTGTAAGGTATAACTTGGGTAAGCCAACATTTCTTTGTAATGCAAGTTACATTTTCATATCTTTAATGTGTGCATATTTTTAATTTTTTGTAAAAAATTAAGCGCAATATGTTGGTGGAGAAAGTAACGAGTGCTTCATAATAATGCTCAGATTTTGTATACAGATATTCGTATTTTATTCAAAATCTACCCTTTATCACAATTTTTTTACTCTTATGTTAAGGTATACATAATCCTTGACTTGATAACACGATGATCTACCCAATACAAAATGGGCAAAGGAGCGATCTTTGCAGAGAAACTTGACTGTTCGATGAAATCGGTAGTTTAGAGACCCTATTTTCATTGCAGTATTTCATGACAATTTGTTGGTCGATTTCTAGTTTATATTGTAGAACAGGTTCCTAATGAATTAAATCAATTGTCTATCTTCTAAACAGTAGTAATAAGTGACTCATTTTTGTTGATGGATGTTGAACTCATTTTAGACATTTGTTCATATACAACAAGTGCACTACCGACTACTGAATCACTGTTTGCAAAGAAATTAGCCTATATCACCACCATAATTCAAGCTTATTTTTAAAGTCAAATAGTTTCTCCATGGATAAAAGTAGTTTTTATGGAGTCAAAAATAGGGCAAGCTAGTATGCATTTAAGAGGGCCTCTCAGTAAGATCCACCCACTGGTTCGGGGAAGGGAAGATAGATTTAGCTCATATTTTGCATATGAACTAGACTTTGGTCAATATTAATCGAGAACGTTTCAACTTTCTGTTTTATAGGAGTTATAGCCGTGTTAAAATTTGACCTTGCGAATATATTTTCAGACCGGAAATGAAGGGGAATTTTACAAGAATTCATCTGATTTTTTAAAAACGTTGTGATGCGTTTATCCCCTCCAGTTACTGTTCACATGCAAGATTAACACTAATACTCTCGTTTACATGGAGACTGAACAACTTTATTTGCTTAATACGATTTTTTTTATAGTTTTACGAAACTATGTTTCCAAGATGGCGGCGAGAGGCTGAAAATTGCTCATATTTTACTTAAAATAGCTCAAAAGTGGCACCTATCTGAAGTTCAAAAGGCATGTAATTTGAAAGTATACCTACTAAAGTTAAGTAATCAGGAATAAAACTTGTCTGCAAGCAATTTTCTGAAAAGTTGTCCAAATTGGGTCTATTTTTAGCTGTTTGTTTACATTTGTGTGTTCGCTGATCAGCGACACTAGTAATAATTAAAAAGTTAAATAAGCTGGTTTATTATCCAGGTTCTAATTCACAACATAAAAGCATTAAAAATACAACCTTAGCCATTCTTGGCTTATTCGCATGAATAATTTCACAACTGTTAAATATCTTTTTAAGGTATAATAGGGCAGTACTTTCTCTGGTTGTAGCAAATTTCAAAGCTGTCAGTATCTCTGGCTGTATATAAGAAGTGTTCGGTGCTCTAACTTTTTTATTCAACTCGTCTCGTAATCTTTTTCTGTCCCTGTAAATGGAAATTTTGCCCGAAAGGTCGGACATTAATTCTTGCAGCATGAATGCAACATATTTTTGTATATAATTGCAGTCAAAATACTACAATCTACCCACTTCCGCTTTTGTAGTCTATTGTCATTTACTATTTTGTTTTGACTTTTGCATTATTGTAGCGGTTGCCGATTTATGGAGAAATATGGTGATAAAATTTAGTTGTTTTTTAAATTTTTTTAATATTTTAAATAATTGTAACAAAGGATGCATTTTTCGTTTGATTCACTGCATATGAACACATAAAAGTTTTGAAATTTAACTTATGTCGTCGTATTTCCCTATAATTTGTTAACAGCTACAATAACAGAAATACTGCAGTAGGAGACAGAGATTTTCAAAAAAATAGTTTTAAAAAAGTTTTAAAAAAGTTTTAAAAAGCAAAAAAGTTTAAAAAATTTAAAACGGTTAAAAAAGTTAGGGTTAGGAGTTAGGGATTACTGGTTAGGGGTTAGTGCCGCGAATTTATTATTATGATAAATTTAAAATGTGCTGCGAATTTATCATAATGATAATTTCGGACGTGTTTAAGAATTTACTCGTATAGTAAATTCAAAGGTGGAGCTCATACTGGACTGCAACACTAGCTTGCCAGTTATTTTTTATAGCAGTGCCTATTTTTACTTTGTGCATGCTCGAGTCATGGAATAGAACTGTTCTTTTGCTGGCCTGAGGTATTTTGCATGTGGAGAAAGCCGGTGGAATGCAGAAAGTCGGCCATGGGGGAGGGAGGGCACGGGGAAGGGAATGCGCGACCTGAGCGACAAAGTCGCGAGTGGTCGACTTGTGTCCCTTGCAGGATTTAAATCGCATTAAAAATTTTGGCGCGAATAATTTTGACATAATAATTTTGTCTACAAAAACATTCTCAAGAATTTATATTTGTTTGTCCTCGAATGAAACAGTTTGGCACCAAGTGTGGAAACGAAATAATGTATCAACAAAAATTCAATGTATCAACAAAAACGAGTGCGCATGTAAAAACTTATTGAATCTGGACAGTTGTTTGTCTAACAATGTGTGCCGTAATTTGTGTCGACAAGAATAGTAATTTATTAGACTTATTATAAAGTTGATTCAATTTGCGAGCGATTTAACGTAGTAGAGGTTAATCAAATTGAAAAGAGTCAGACAACTGTATAAACCGAGAAGCAGAGAGGCGGCGATTGTGATCAACGATAAGACGTCGCCAGAGTTAAAAATCTGTGTTGTTTTCTCAACGAACGATTTTATATTAATAATCAGTAATCAAGATCAAGAAACCCAAACTAACCCCGAAACTAGTGAGGAAATTTTAGAATCATTAGATGCATCTTTGGTGACAGTATTAATAAAGTTTATTTCTACACCCTGTACTTTTAAATATACTCAATGTAATTCTTGTTTGTGTATTTTCACATGGTTTTTGTGTTCTTCAAAATTGTATTTACATTGTTTACTCTGTTTGCTTCAATAATACACGTTTGCTCAACAAAAAAGCCTGACAATATAACATTATTTTTAGACTCCTTCGATAATGACCGATAATGTAAACCGCTTCAGCCTTCAATGTAAACAATGACATAACCAGTGGATTTTTTCACTGGTGATATTTGGCGCATTGCAAGTGACAAAAGTCCTTTCCACAGAGGAAGTGAAGGACTTTGGAAAGTCTATGCTAATACTTGCTGGCAGAGTTTCTAGATTATGATCTTTGGTGCAAGTGGTACCAGTCAGAGTCCAATAATGCTTCATTGCTGGGAGAGACCATACAACAGTGGACCACCATGTATCAACAAATGGCCAATTACATGCCCAATTGCTTTGAACGATCATGTGGACCTTGAAGACTAATCATCAATCAGAATTAGATGTTCCACTTCGCTTTCATAGTATGTCTTCACTTCCAGTACATAGTATGTCTTCTGCTTCCACCAATACCGTTGTGCATGATTTTCATGGCACGCAATAGGAATTCTCGAGTTGGGCCACACCTTCTTCTCCCTAGAACCTGATGTATGGTTTTGCTGTCAGTTTACATTTGCTATCTTTGTAGTGGCTCAGAATGTCTTTTTTCAGCTCTTCCATGCCATCCTCTCTTGAAACAGTAAAATGCTGCCTCAGTAATTCATCACTGACAACCTCTTTCCTGAATGTGTCTACGTCTGAATGTAATGTCATTTCACTACAGATGTCAGCGGGTTGGGAGCAATTCTGCAAACGGCAGGAATTTCAATTTCATCGTTTAACCCTGCATGAGTAAAAATTTATTTTGACTGTGCGATAAAACCCATATTTTATAAACATTGCTTTTTGTTTCAGGTTGAGGGCAGAAATCAGTTCCCTTGCGATTTTTGCGACAAGGTTTGCAAATCGAAAGGCGGCTTGACAAGACACCGGAGAAGCAAACACACAGCTGAGCAAGGCCAAAGTTCTTGTGCTGTTCCTGAACCTCTGCAAATTGTATCATCTGAGAAAGTTAAAGAATTGATCGGTGATATTGGCAAACACTTGACGGATGAAAAGCTTTACAAGAAAGAAGATATTGCAGAGGTCTTGAATCTCCAACCCACTGATTCATTTGTCAAGTTTCTCAACAGCATCCTATCGAAATTCAAAAATCGAAAGAATCATAACAAGCTCTTGCAACAATTTTATGGCAAAACAAATGCTTACTGGGAAGAATACTTTCACCCGTGTAAGGCCCAGAAGATTGTATTCCTGATGCTTATTCATCTTCCTGAACGTCTGGTTGCATTCCTGGAAGACAGCCAAGATAAATCAAGTCCTAAGGTATAGAATATATATTGCAATTTAAACATTGGTACTTTACTATAACAGTAATAGGGGCCTGTTTATCAGTATGATCCCGGCCAGGCGGGATGGGATGCTTACTGAGATCCCGCTCGTAATACAAATTCTAATTTCTAAAGAGTGTTTATATGATCCTGTCACTTATCCCGCCTAGACGGGATCTCGGCAACAGATGCCGGGGATCCTGCCTAAACGAGATGAAAAATTCCTATATAAACACTCCATCCCAGTTGAACTTTTCCCTTTTGAGCATGCAGAAATGCCTTTATTGCAACAAAAATATGAAGTCAAGCACTTAAATGGCTTCATCCTGGCAATGTATTTTGTCCATATAGACACTAGGCGAGTTTCCCATCTAGGTGGGATGAAAACGTTCCATCCCACCTGGCGGGATCACATAAACAGGCCCTAAGAGAGCCTCTGGCAACCAGGGTGTTTAAAGAGGACAGCTACTGCATTTAGAAAATAGTTGTTAAGATCTAAAGACAATGAAGGGAGATCTCATACAAATCTCATATTAAAAGTATACTTATTTTTAATTTCAGAAGAAAGATCATGTATCTTTATCATCTGAGGAGTCTGGTCCCTTATATTTAGCAGGTTATATTATATGCTCGCTTTACCAGAAGAGCAAGAACTGCCAACAGTGTAATTCAGCCCGAAATAAAGAAATTCAGGCACTGATGCTGTGTATGAGAGTTGATACTGAGCACAACCTGTATATTGCTTCAATTTCAAGAGGTGGACTCTGGTCACCCCATCCATGGATTGTGATCATAGCTGAGGCATGTGAATTGACATTTAGAAACAGTACAAATGAAGAAATGATCACACATCTTCCAGCTGAAACAATGGTAAACGAAGTCTTGTCTTCGGCATCTGTTAATGGCCTATGGGACAACATTGTCGAAAATTGTGACATTCAGATTTCCAAAGAATGGAAGTCATTGTGTTTGGAAAATTTTATCAAGTTGTATATAAGAGTTAGGTGTTTTTCATTTGCAAAAGACATTGTTCAAAAGACATTGAAGAAGAAAGCTCTGCGAAAAGAATTGAAGAAAGAGTAAGGAACATTAAACTTTGTATTAAAATGCATATTTTACAGATTTTTATATAGTAATAGTATAAAGTAGCCATAATAAACCTAAACCATCTTAAGTCTATTTAAATTATTTACAATATGTTCAGACATGTCACATGCCTTCCTACTGAATTTATTAAATGAGTATTTATTTAAGTTGTGTATTCTTGGGTTGCATGTGACATCACAAAAGTGACGGGGGGGGGGGGGGGGGGG